AAGTTTTCTGTCTTTTCACGCTTAGATCAAGTGGTTCATCATCCAAAGATTGTCGTTTTCGACTGCCATGTGATTTAGTAGAAAGATCCATTGGATACGAGACTGACTGAATGTTTGATTGGTTCGTCGCATGCACAGAGTTCTCATATGTGACTGGCATTAACATATGACGTGGGTATTCAACTTGATGATAAACAAAACTCACGGGACTCACTGCAGCTTGAGGTGATCTTGTCTTTTGATTGTTGTCAAATCTTACATTGGGTGGAGATTTAAGTTGTACGCCTGATGAATCAACCATAAATTCCTGTACATATTGCTGATAACGTAATTTTAAGTCCGTCCAATCTTTTTCCATTCCTGACGACCTACAATGTTTACAATCTACATTCATAATCCAAAAGTTGTCTTTTCCTGAAGGCCTATCTGGACGACGCAGAACTTTTTTGAAACAATCGTTGATACTCAAAGTATGACGCACACTGTTCTTCCATCCTTCGTAACCCCCACGAAGGCAACAAAAAGCTTTCGGCATGAAATTTGTAATGTTCTGTAGCGTCATCATGGTATTGGGATTCGACACGATGGCAAAGGTAATCATCTCGACGTAAGAAAATGGAGATTTGATATGCCGCATATAGTCTGGTCGTGGTCGTTTTCGCTTATTGACTTTCGGTGTTTCGGTGGGTGATTCAATTTGTACCCCCTTTGTAACACATTCAACATCATCAGAATTCTGAGGCTCCGGTTTAACAGAAACACTGTCTGGAACAGCTTCATGAACGGTAGAGTCAGGCGAGTCAACTATGTTCATACTCTTCAATACTCTTGCCATACTATACAACTTTTTCAATTAATGTATTTTTGTCTGTTGTTCTAAAGCTCAAAGTGGCTAATGAAGATGAAACAAATTGCCACAGTTTATAAACACTAGGATTTAGAGCTCACCTAGTCGAACTGTAATGTAATTGGTCAACTGTGTAGAACAAAAGCTATTGTTTCAATCGCTATAATAGTTTAGGAGGTGTAACCTGGTGCAACGAAGCAGGCTGCCAACGTGAATACAAAGGGAGTTTACCAGCATTGGACTCGCATTGTTTCAATATCTTTCATTCAATTGCGGGGCGTGGATAATGCCACGCGCCTTTATTCTTTATTGTTCATTATTCTGTTCAATATCCTAATACCTTTCAAGACTGAATAATGTGTTAAAAATTTTAACTGGTGGAACAATGTGTTAAAAAGTCTTTTCTATTAAGTAATTTTGAAAATTATTTGTTAAAAATTCAGCTCCTTAATGGGTTAAATTTTGTGTGAAATTTAGGAAATAGTGTTTTCTGTAGTTTCCAAATGGGTAAAAATTCATGAGTGAAAAATTAGCTTATCATCATTTTACCGAGGATAAATATTTTATAACATTTTTATGTTTTATAACATATATATAGACCTATATATGAATTTTAACAAATAATTTTCAAAATTACTTAATAGAAAAAGACTACTTAACACATTGTTCCACCAGTTAGAATTTTAAACACATTATTTATATATGTATATATATATATATATATATATATATATATATAGAACTGGAGGTCGCTGGAACAG